CATAACTATAGGATTTTCTATATTTATTAAAAAAAATCTGGCACATGAGAAAATATCAAATTGTGCTATTCCACCTCCATATGTGCCAGTTATCTATAAATATAGAAATGCAATAATTATCACTAAAACTGTTACTTGTTAAATTTTCAAAAACAGATAAATTATGAATATGAATTTGAAAGATAGTTTAAGGAGTTAAGAAATGAATAAGGACCTAGAATCATTGACTCCTTAACTCGGATGGGACCGGAAGTCCTCCTACTCCAGAGGGATTGCATGAATCCAAGTGGTTTTAAGCCTCTGCTCAACCACCCCCGGACAGCATGCTCACTACCTATAAAGATGCTGGGTCACTCTGTTGGTTGACAAAGCCTTCCTTATGTTTATGCATAAGGAAGTGTTATGTCTACGAACACTCACACCACCAGGTCTCAAGCCACCACTATCTATCAGACATCAAGCCGGCAGCACTTGACTCCTTCTCTCGTGGAATTCACACAACCTTGTGAAACGCTCACGTGTTCACACTAGACACACTAATGAAGGTGCCAACATGACACAGTAAGTGGCTAGACCCGCCTGTCTCCCAGGTTCCCACCTCTGCACAGCAGGCTTGCTATCACAGGTGGTATTGGTGACGCTTTGGCCCACCAGGGTAGCATAGGGCCTCCTCAGACACACAGTAGACACCCATCCTGCCTTTAGAAATATTCTCCAAGATCAATATTCTTTGAGACTGCATCATTTTGTGTATATGATAAAATTTGGTTTCTTCCTATCTATGGAGGACTCTCCTGTTTCTAAATCGTCAATGTTTGGCTTTGAGCAGAACCAGATATGATCCTCCAGGAGGAATCTGAAGAGCAGACAGGACCTTCCTGTCCTCACCGTGGATCCTCGAGCCCCACTGAGGCAAACTTGAAATTTTTACTGACAACCAACCCTACGTAGCTATCAACTATAATCGTCTTTAGAGTCAGCAAAGGCCCAAGTCATTCTTGTTTCACACCCTTCATCGAAAACCTCCTCTCAGTCTAGAAAAATTGTCTCTGTGATGCACAGAGGAAGTGATCACTTTTTATTTGCTCCCCTCCTTAGCTGTGGCATTTGGCCTAAAGCGTACTTGACCCAGACCAATTAAATTCCTGTCTAGCAATTTTGGTTGTTTGTTTGTTTCAGTGCTGAGGATTCCAGGCCTTGTGCATGCTAGGCAAGCCCTGTACCACTGAGCTACACACACACACACACACACCCTTTCTTAGATTTGACTTTGAAAAAGGATCTTGCTATATTGCCCAGGCTGACCTTGAACTTGACATCATCCTGCCTATTCCTATTCCAGTAGTTGGGATTACAGGATTGCACTACCATGCCCACCCCTGGAAATTTAATAACAGAGGCAAGAGAATTGTTTCCTTCACTTTGACTAACCTAGAAACATGTGAATCTGAGAATTGCTAAGAGGCCAGAGTTCTTCCCCCGTGAAGAAACCTAACAAATGAAAAAAAAAAAAAAAAGAATCAGAAATGAGACAAGTTGAGAGGGTCCCAGCAGCCCCCATTCTGAGGCACCCGTGATTTGCATACAAGAGCCAAAAAACAGCTGAGCACCTGTAATCCCAGTGGCTTGAGAGGCTGAGGCAGGAGGATCGTGAGTTTAAAGCCAGCCTCAGCAAAAGCGAGGCACTAAGCAACTCCTGACTCTATTTACAATAAAAAATTGGGCTGAGGATGTGGCTCAGTGACTGAGGGCCCCTGAGTTCAATCCCTGCTTAAAAAAGAAGAGCCAACAACAGCAACAACCACAAAAAATCTTCCTCTTTTTGTACCCAAACAATCAAAGTTAAGTTTCTGTCACTTGCAACATCGGAAGTCCTGAAAAACTGATGCCACCAAGTCTCTGCTTAAGCAGTGAGGGGACTCAGGCATTCAAATTCTGGGCTTAACAATTCAAGTCATGTTTCCAGCTTATGGAAATATTTTGGGATCCTAAAATCATGCTATGTTGTTACGCTTTCCAGTTTTACGTTGTCCTCAGATTTGATCACTGAGTGAGATGACTAACATTCAGGTCACTAACCAGAACTGCGTCCTGGGGCCAGGTTGTGGCTTCTCTGTGGGAGTTGACTGGCCTGTCAGCAGCCTTCCCACAGTTTAGTGGCTCAGACAAGAGCCGAGCTCAAGTGCCAGTGTTACCGGTTAGTCTTGAGTTCAGCTCCTGGCACCCCAACATGATCCTTCTTCCCTGGGGTTCAGTATTCCCATCCCTGAAGTGCCTTCCCAGATTGTAAAACATCATGGAAACAAATGACAATGTAATTCATATATGTCAAGCTGTGGGTTGAATAGAAAGAGAGGGAAAGTTTAAGACTTGGACAGATGTAGTTCTCATTTATAGATGAAGAATCTGAGCTTGAGAGACTTGGCTTTCATCATTCAGTTGGAGAAGTATTTGAGCTTTTTTATTTTTAAATAATGAATGTGAAGAATTAAAGCTTTTCAGTATCTATTGAGATGATCAGATGGTTTTCCTTATTCAGCTATGTGCTTTTTCAGTAAAGGAAAATGATTCTGCTTTAATAATGCTAGACCTGGGCTGACTTAGATGATATAATACCTGGGCCTGGGGAAGGGGAATGGAGAGTAGGTGGATGGTACCACCCACCCACAATGAATAAACAAAGCTAAACTTTATACGTTTCAGAATTGCACAGTGTCAACACTCTTGTTTTTTTTCTCTTATGCACAGAGGGGTGCGGGGGGATGAATGAACTTTGCAGAGAGAGAAACTCAAGAACAAATCATTCCACTTTCCTCACCGAATGCATGTATGACAATGTCTGCTTCACAAGACTGTCATGAGACCTAAATAGTTACAGTGACTAACAAATATTGCCTAGTACTAGGCACATAGCAGTTTCTCAATAAACATTAGCTCCTTTACCTTCCTACTTTCTTTCTTCTTCTGATAATATGTAAAAAATATTTTGGAAAAGTAGGAATAATTAATTTAAGATTTTAAACTTTATGAATGGATCAACAGAATGTGACATATGTGTACAAGGGTAAATTATTCAGCCTCAAGAAGCAAGGAAATTCTGACACACGCTACTTCAAGGATAAACCTCAAAGACATTACGCTATATGAAATCAAACAGAAAAGGACAAATGTTGTATGATTGCACTTACATGAGGTCCCTAGAGGAATCAAATTCATAAAGAGAGACAGCAGGACGGTGCTTTCCAGGGCCTGAGAGAAGGGGCCACTGGGAAGTTACAGTTTAATAGGTCCAGAATTCAGCTGAGCAGATGAAAACATTCTGGAGGTGGGCGGTGCATCGGGTATGCAATGGGAGTCTACTTAATGCCACTGCACTGTACACTTAGTAGCAGTTAAAGTAGTAAATTTTCTGTTACATGTATTTCATTAAAAATCACCACGTAAAAAAAATTAAACTCAGTGGTGGTGCTGATTGTTGTCAATTCCAAATTAAAATTTTAACCTGAAGATTTCCAAGCCATATCCTCCACCCCATGTGTAAAATCCCAGAAAGACCAAGGTTCAGTGTTGGTAGGGTCCCGGGAGCCTGCTCTTGGGTAGAACAGGGTGTAGCATGAATGCGGAGGTGGCCACTCTGAGGAGGTGGTGGCTTCATCGGGGCCGGGAGCCTGCACCTTGCTGTGGCCCGCAGAAGCCTCAGCTTCCTGGGTTCAGCCATTCTGGGGCCGCAGCCTTCAGCTCCCACTGAAGTCTCCCTCCTGAAACTGAGCCTCAGCCGGAGAGACGATGGCAATAGCAAGTATCATCTTTTCAATTTTCTCATTCGATTTACTCGAATTTTACATTTGAAATAATATTTCTATCATCATAATAAAAAGTCATGTCAGCTTACACCTCAATGCCAAGGAAAAATCGTACGAGGCAAGCTGAGCGCTGAGGCTGCTGGTGATCGCCATGTCCCATCTGTCAACTCTGAGCGCTCCCTACCTATGCTATTCAGTCAGCATTTGTCATCTGGGGCTGTATGACATATCTTTTTTTGTTGTCATTGTTGTCTTGTATTGTCATCTGTCACTGAGTCAGATTCAGAGAATTCACTAACAAAATTTGACATCATCATTACCTGCGGGCTGATTGAGCACCCCTTGGCTACCGAAGAAAAACACATGCAGACTTCTTCTCTTATCGTTCAGCATATTTTCTCTGGATTTGCTGTCTAAACAGTATGATCTAAATTGCCACTTATATTTGAAATCTCCAGCTCCTTTCTGCATACGATGGCCAGGAGTGTCTACTTAAAATAACGTCTGGTCACGCCACGCCTACGCTCAATCACCCACTCATATAGTTGTTTAGGACACATTTTCTGAGCAACTACTAGGTGGAATGTGTGCCAGGCCATGAGCTTGTTGTTGGAGACAGAGATGCAGGATATATATCTCCTCTTCTAGAAACTCATCATCTGGCACAGACACAAACACGATACCAATTGTGATATGATATGATCAAGGTGCAAACAGAATCGAGCTCATGGCACTCCGAGACATAAAGGAACAGGGTGTCAGGACTTAGGGAAGATTTCACAGAAAAGGCCCCTTCCCACGGGATATGCCTGACACTGGGAATCTCCATTTCGTCCTTTGGACTTGAGTGTTAGACAGTTATAATCAGGTGTAACTTTCAGTGTCAACCAGAAAAATATCCTCAAAGGTCAACATTTTTGAGACAACTCATAATCTGGAAGAAAATATTTGCAATATAGGCTTGACTAAGGACTCTTGGAATAAATAAAATACATGCAGCATTACTACAAATCCACAAGGAAACAACAAACAATCCAGTTTTCAAAATGAGCAAAACATTTGAATAGGCACTTCATAGAATAGTGCCTATCCAAAGAGTCAATAAGCACATGAAAACATACTTAATACAAAACGTGTGTATTCATCAAAAAGTGCAAATTAAGGACTGGGGCTGGGGCTTAGCAGTAGCGCACTTACCTAGCATGTGTGAGGCACTGGGTTCGATTCAGCACTGCATAAAAATACATAAAATAAAGGTCAATCAACAACTAGAAAAAATATCTTTTTTAAAAAATGCAAATTAAAACCCTAAGCATGGCTAAATTTAAAAGTGTAAAAACACTAAATATTGGTAAAAAAAAAAAAATATATATATATATATATATATGGATCACAACTCCATCACTGAAAGAAATATAAATAATTACAAATGCTGGGAAATTTTTGGCTGTGTACAAGACCATAAGAATGCTTGTAACAGTTTCTTCATAAAAGCCAAGAAATGGAAATAACTGACATGTCCAGTGGTCAGATAGGTAAATACACTATGGTGTAGGAATTCACACTAAACAGCAGTAGGAAAGAGCAAATAAACCACACACTGCATCATGGATGAATCTTACAAATACAAGGTTGAATCAGAAAAAAAAAAAAAGCAAAATGAAAATAATTTTAAAAAACAGGCAAACAAATCTATGGTGAAAAGAGTGTGAAATACTGGTGAACTTTAGCAGGTATTTACTGGGAAAATCAGGTGGTTTAGTCAGCTTTTTCACAGCTGTGACTTAAAGGCCTGACCAAAACAACTCTAGAGGAGTGAAAGTTGATTTGAGGGCTCACGGTTTCAGAGGTCTCAGTCCATAGACAGCCAGCTCCACTCCCCATGGGCTCCGTCCAGATGAGGCAGAACACCATGGCGGGAGAGTGTGGCAGAGGAAAGCAGTTCACAAGATGATCAGAGAGCAGAGAAAGAGGTTTCCACTCCCAGATACAAATTATATACCCCATAGCCACGCCCCCATGAACAACTTCCTCCAGCCACACCCCACCTGCATCCAGTTACCACTCATTAATCACTAATTCACTGATTAGGGTAAGGCTATAACCCAATCATTTCTCCTCCAAACCTTCTTAAGTTGTCTCACATGTGAGCTTTTAGGGGACACCTCACATCCAAACCATAACAGCAGGAGTGAGTGTTTCGAGATACTTGTGTGAGGCGTGGGAGGTATTCGTCAAGATACACACTGAATACTTGTGCACTTCATTCTCTCTATATTAGTCCTTATTAAAATCAATTTTTAAATTCTTACAACAATCGAGTCCCCGGTGTCTGTAAGTGGACCCTGCGCTCTTTGCCAGAGTCTCCACATCTGGTCCAATGCCCCATCTGGGACTGGAAAGGCTCATCTGTTCATAGCGGGTTGTGAGAGTTTGTGTCTAATAATCCACTTTATTTTCTACATTCACAATAAAATCCTTAAGCTACTCCAAAGGATGGCCTCAATGCCAACAGTTTCCCGGATGGAAGCAAAGTTGGAAGAGGGCAGGTTGGGCAGGGAGAGCGTCTTCCCAGCCCACAGGAAGGACACCCTGTTCTGTACCACACAGTTCCTTGCATATTTCAAACAATGGGCATCAAGACAGGGGACAAGGCCCAAATTTCCTCTTATAAAGTAATACTGCAGCCAAATGGAGTTGGACCAAAGTTTGTTACAGGAATTCTAAGTCTCTGACCAGCAATGGTTGAATGGTCTCCATCTTCTTAATTGAATGTGAAAATATCTGTAAATCTGAAATACTGCTGCAGTGTCTCCAAGAAGGGTTCCTCGCTTAAAAGTAGTCATTATTGATTGGGCTGTGTCAATTCCAAGGCCTTACAGATCCAATTAGAACAATAAGAGCTGAGGACAGAGTGTTGTGGTGACATTACTGCCTCAGGGGACTTTCTCATCTGCATTGACTGAGTCAAAGTAAGATAAAAGCATTGAGTTCAAAGGATCTGAAAGCATCCGGACAGAAACATCACAGGAGAATTGAACGAGCCTGTATCCCATAAGGAACTGTCTCCCTCCCAGTCTCTGCTGAGCACCCACAGGACAGTGTGAATGTCCTGTGTCAGACATCTGTTTTCCATGGATGTCCTTAAATCTTCGAATTTGGATGTGGATAAAATATCAAAGACAGAAAGGAATCGTGTTTCCAATCATTCCATATTTTATCCTAGTTTGAATTGCCTTCCCATTGAGACAGGAAAGCCTGCACCTCAGAAGGACTCCAACACCCACCTCGGTCCAGATGGACCACAAGGGAGGTGGACCACCAGAAAGACGAATGTGAAAACTAGCAATTTATATGTTTAAACGTTATTGGACCTGATTGTACACAAAGCCAAAGGGAATGTGGAGATTTTGTTCAATTACGTTAGGCGCTAGTCTTATCCAATCAAATCACACGTTGCTCTTGAGGTGAACAATCAATCTTATATCCTCTGATGCTCTCTTTGCTACTTAGGCCACCAAAATAAGAGGGGTCAGAATATTTGGTGTGGTGACCTTAGGAAAACCATGCAATACAGTTTGTCTTTGTATCCCTGAATGTCTTCTATTTTTTCCCCTCTTTACTGACCCAGATTCGTTTTCTTATGTATCATTCCAGTCCCCTCCCCAAAAGATTAATAAAAGTTTTCCAAGTTTATCAACCAACCACTACCAAGGTTAATTTTTAATCTAAAAAGTTAATAGCTTAAGACTTAACTTGCCTGATGGGAATATCTGAATTTCCCAAGAGCTTAGTGGAGCCCCAGGGCTCTGACCTTCCAGACAACTATCCATCAGTCTGCTCTTTGGGGTCTTCTCTGATGAGGCTGGTCACACCCCGTCTCTGCCTCCCAAAATCTTGGATGAAGTCTGAATTTTCAGTCTCTACCAGAAGGGATAATGAACCTGGACTAAAATAACTTGAATAATAAATGTTACAACAAGAGGTTAATGGAGACAAGCTAAGACTCAGGACACTGCATACTTAGAATATTTCTGTAGCAAAATTCCAGAGTTAGAATTTCCAGAGTGTTCCTACTATCAGTTTGCAGGAAAATAACAAGAATAGATTAAGGTGCAAAGAGAGAACATGAATGCACCGCGTGATTCTGTACTAGCCCAGAAGCTGGGCTGTCCATGGCCCTCTGGTCCTCTTGCAAAACTGGCCAACCCATCTATGTATCCCAGGGTTGGAATTCGTTCTTTTGTCTTCTCTAATGACAGAATCGGAGGTGGCTTGAAGATAATTTGGATGGGAAGAGCCAGTTGATCTCTGTCCAGTTTTGAATTCTCTAGAGGAAAGGGGAGATGCGCATCTCACGTCTGGAAACTCCACCACCTGGAGGTGTCCTCTGCTGCCTGCGAGGGAGGCTCTGGCATGCCAAGACCCAAGCCAGCTTCTGTGGAGAGTGAGTTCCGTTTGGGATAGCTGGAACTCAGAAGACCAGAAGACACAGGAAAATTCTAGCTAGAAGTTCAGGCCTGGGGGAAACTGTCCAGAGAACCTGTAACCGGTAAAGAGAGTTGGCCTGAGGGTGGTTCCCAGGGAATCTTAAATGGAAGATAAAGGACAAGCCAGGTAATTAGGAGCTGACCATCCTTGACCTTTCCCAGAGCAATTCCCACAAAAGAGGGTGGGGTGGGGGCAGCAACGCTGAATCAAACTTTGGTGATGAGCCCTGTGTTTGCTAGAAGGAGTTTTGAAATGATAACAGTTGAGGGAGACACAGAAGTTTTTGTAGGATATATTTTTCTTCTAAGATAAAGGCATTCTAAGTGTCTTTGTAGCCAGGAGGGGAAGGAGCTCGTGGAGGGAAAGTAATGGAAGATTTAAGAAAAAGTGAGAATAATTGATGTAGTAGACCCTTTGGAAAAACCAAAGAAAATAAGGTCAAGAATTCAAAAGTACCAGAGTTAGCCTGAAAAAAAATAAAAATAAAAATTATAGGGAAGGATGGGGAAGAAAACCCAGGAAACCAATCTGATGAATCAGAGGGCAGGAGGAAGACAGAAACTCTCCTCAGGGTTCCAGTAGCAGAGGGGAAGCAAGAAGAGATCAGCAGGTTCACTGCTCAGAGTTTCTCACTGGAAGGAAGAGCAAGTGTTTTGAATCAAGAGTTGAAAACTAGGCTGGGGACCGAAAGTGCTAGCTTCTCTGTCCCATCCCCACTACCACAAAAATTAAATAAGTTTAAATTAAAATAAAAAATTTAAAAACAAATAGGGAATTGATTGGACATTAATATATGAATGAGCATACCACATGGCCCAGTTCCATCTTACCAACCGAAAGGTCAATGTTAAAGTTAATTTATCGAGTTTCTCCAAATCCGGGCTTGGTGTATGGAATACACTATCAGAACACAGATAGGACCTTGTACAAAGTCATGGCGTGTTACTCGTCCTGATTATTTGGTGACTTTAATTAGAGTTTTTCCACTGCTGAGTATGCGTTTGCAACATTAAGTACTTTTTCTATTCTTTTTTATCTTGTGTTAATATTTTCCCCTTTTTAACATGCTGTTTTACATAGCTTTTCATTGACCATCTCTCTCTGCAAGCCACAAACTCTAGGATTGCTGTTGAAAATCAATAGACTCAGGGAGAAAAGAGAAAAGTGGGGCCAGAAACAATCCTCTTATCTCAGATGTTCTGCCTTTCTTCCATCCTTACCCTTGAAACCTCCCCTCCAACCCACCCAGAAGTGAAGAGAATGGGAATGGTCTGAAGGGAAGGCAGGTCTCCTGCCTGGTCCTTCCTCTCCATCTCTGTCTCCCACCTTTGAACCTGTCTGCTGTCTACCAAACACAGGGCTGTTTCCATGAGGTCTTGTTAAGGGGGGCAACGTAACAGAGCAGCTTTGGGGTGGTGACACTGACCTTGCAAATATACAATCTCCAAAATCAAAATAATGATTTGGGCTCAAGAAATGAGACTGGGCAGCGCCAAGTTGCTGTCCTTCCCCTCCACAAGCGGAATCATTTAACTCCCCCACAGTGTGCCCCCTGATCTGCAAGTGGCCCCTGGAAGGCCATCGCTTACAGTGCAACTGCTGCCCGCCCAAGCCCACCTCCCCTCGGGCCTGGGTTGACATCTCCTGGGACTTGCCATTTTCCTCTACAGGGTTAGTTGCCTTTTGTGACAACTAAATTCACGGGAAGAAAATTCAAAATCATTTCGGTGGCAGCCAGCTTCTGAAATTTTCCAAATGTACTTTTTTAGCTATTTCCCTTAAGCCATATGATGTCATTTGCCTCTCAATCCCTGAGTGCCAAAAATTCTGCTTTCATATCTCTGAAATTTGCCAAACTATAAAAACCTCCGATCTCAGTTTGGGTTTTTAATCTCCTCGCCAAAAAGGCAAAAATTACTTTCTACTCTTTTCAAAGTAAAAATATCAGCCACCAAAAAAAAAAAAAAAAAAAATGAGAAAGAAAAAAAAATACTCAGTTCACAAATCTGTTAAATCTCTTACCATGTTTCCCCCTGTTCGGGCTAATGGGCTGCCCTAATTTGATTCAGAATTTTCATTTTAATAGCTTGTCATGTGTTGCTTCGGGACATACCGAAAAATCCTGAAGCACCTGACTTGACAGGTAACCGGGAGACAGATTCTTCAGATGCAGCTTTCCTTTGCTTTGGGAGACGTATTCATTAGCGATTTTTGAAGTTGGAACATTTTCCCACTGATTTGGAAGTTTTCATAGATTCTTGGTGTGTATTTACCGAAGCTTTTTAGTTCACCTAAGAAAGAAAGAGAGATAAAGAGAGAGAAAGCCTGCTTCCCTTTCTAATTACAGTCCCATTTCCTTAGCAAGTCCTTAAAAAAAGAACTCCCCAAGTCCCTAATCATCTCTCTTGTCGTAATCTCCATAACTGTGTCCCTTCCAGATTCCTTCTTGGCAGAGCCCAGAGACTGATTTGCTCCATGTGGTTAAAAACCTTTCATTCCATGCCAGTCAGGCCGCGTTCCCACAGCTGGCCTCCCCGGGCCTGGGTGCTCCTTTGGGTGCGATCGGTCACTGCAGGCTTCTTTTCGGTCCCCAAAGACTGATTGTCATCCTGGCTCCGTCTTCTCAATCTCAGGACAGACTCAACTCCACCTGACAGGATTATGATGACAGGGCTCCACCAGGTCCCCTCCTCCTCTCCCGAGTTCCTTTTCCCGTTTAATCAGTTCAGTATAAAATCGTCTCTCTCCCCTTACCATGTCAAGTAAAAAGTTGGGATTCAGTGATCATTATCCATCTGCCAACTAGGGGTTCTCGGCCTTCAGCAAGTCCCACCCCTGCCCCACTTCCTCCAGCACCCCAGGGTGAATGCTTGGGCATGTCTGGAGACGTTTGGTCCTCATGACTTAGGGGGCGGGCTATGAATGGCACCTGGTGGCTAGAGACCAGGGATGCTACTTAGAACTCCAAAATACACAGGACAGACCCCACAAGAAAGAATTATCTGGCCTCGAATGTCAGAAGCCAGGAAGTTGAAATGAACCATCACCCAAACACCACAATGAGCCACCAGGTTGTTCCTTGGATATCTTCAGGTCCCCATGCCCTAGAAAACGGTCTGGCCCATCATCATTGTCTGTTAGTAAGTCTTTGTTACTTAACCGAGAACCCCCTTCTTGGCAAACTAATGATCAGCAGTCTTTAACAGTAGAACACTGCCACCAGGGACAGATGATACCCCTTCTTCCTGGCTCTGTCCTTGCTGAAGGTAAGAAAATAGGGCAGGGGGTCACCTACTCTTCTACACCAGGTTCAAAGGCCTTGACACCCACCCTCCAAGCTCTGGGATGGGAAGCCAGCCCACAGGAGGGGCACTCACTTCCTGTGGACTCCTGGCTCCACTGGGGGATCCTACCAAAGACCTCTGGGATGGTAATGAGATCCCAATAATGGGGGAGGCTGAATTCTAACGACCTGCTGAGCAGTGTCTCTAGGGAGATGGGAGCAGCTGGTGGGAATGGAAAGCCCAGGTCAGTGTCTGGGACAGAGGCTTAGGAATAGCCAGGCATGATGGCCACACCTGGGATCCCAGCCATTCCAGAGACTGGGGCAGAGGGTTAGAAGTTCAAGGCCAGCCTCGGCAGTGAACCCTGTCTCAAAAAATAAAAAAAGGAGTGCACTGTAGCTCAGTGGAAAAACACCCCTGGTTCAATCCCTAAGACCAAAGAAAGAAAGAAAAAAAGAAGGAGACAGAGGAGGAAGAGGAGGAGGAAGAAAGGGAGGAGGAAGAGGAAGAAGAGGAGAAGGAAGAAAGAGGAGGAAGAGGAAGAGGAAGAGGAAGAGGAGGAGGAGGAGGACAAAGAAAGAGGAAGAGAAAAGAGAGGAGGAGGAAGAAGGAGGAGGAAAAGGAGAAGAGGAGGAAGATGAAGAAGAAGAGGAGGAGGAGGAGGAGGAGGAAGGGAAGGAGAAAAAGAAGAAGATGACAACGAGGATGATGGCGGCAGTGACAACGATGACCCCGACGTGGCCTTAGGAAAACAGACAACCAGACTCTGAGTCATAAGACCCTATGAAGCTCTTGGCAGAAAGCAGGAGTTCAGGGCACAAGGACATGGCGGCGGCAGCCACAGCAAGTAGAACTGGTGAGAAGGCCCCTGGGCTGGGGAGGAAAGTAGAGGCGAAGCAGGAAACAGGTCCTTGCGGGAGGAGGGCATAGAAGGGCCCAGCAGGGACACAGCACCTGGGACTCTCCAGATCATCACTCCTTGACAACTGGCCATGGCCTTCCATGCCCGGGAGGCCACCCTGAGCCTGTCCTGGAGTCCCCCGGGGAGTGCTCTGAGGAGGAGCAATGGGCTGAGTGGTAAGCAGTGTGGCCCTCTGTGTGATGGAATTTGTCACCCACACTGCAGACTGGCACCTCTGACATGCTAAAAAGTTGCTATGTCCCCAAATGTCTCACTACCAGACAACCTGGGTGTCCTTGGGAGACATATGATCAATGAACCTGTGAAGTCCGTTTGTCCTGGGCTGTCCACCTGGAAGACAGGGATTAGGGAAATAAACAACACAGATACGGCTCTGTGCCTCGCGGTGGTGGGGAAGAGTCCCCCAGCGGCCCATGTGCTAAAACTCCAGTCCCCAACCTGGGGCGCTATTGGAGGTGGTAGAGACTTAGAACCTACGGGGAGGTCATTTGGGCCACTGCCCTCAAAGAGCATCATGGGATACCAGGGTCTCTTGCACCCTCTCTTTGCTTCCTGGCCATCGTGAAGTGAGCAGCTTCCTTCACCGTGTGTCCCCACCATGATGCACTGACCTATCCGAGGCCCAACACGACCAGCTGACCAGAAACTGGATCCTGTGAAACCATGAGCCTAAATAAACCTTTCCTCTTTTAAAGTTGATAATCCCATGGAATTTTGTTACAGTCAGGGAAAGCTAACAATGCATAGATATATGTGATTTCTGTACCATACCCGTGAGCAGATCCGTCCGTCAATAACTAGGTCATTTATTCTGGGATCCAGGCCCTTTGATGGAGCACAATCACTCTAAGTACTTCTAGTGAAAAAAAAAAAAAAAAAAAAGATTAATACTGGGCTCCCTGGCTCTTTTACCCCATTGGACACCACCACCCTAGTTCTTAAGACATTTCTGGGTAATATGGGAGCTATCCCACACCCAACTTCCCGTCTGGCCAGGCTCCCAACTCATTCCTTGGCCAGGCTTCTGTTCTGCTGCTGAGTGCTATGGGTCAGGCAGTAGCTTCTGGTTTGGACAGGACATTTTGTCCATCCTCTTTTCTTGAGCAAAGGGATGGGACTGAGGGTGTCACCAAAAGCCCCGTCCAGCCATGGTATTTAATGGACGTGCCTGGTGGATGTGGCCCGTCTCACTAGATGCATGTTCCAGTGTTATTTCCCACAGAAGATGAATCCTCAGCCAACCACCCCTCCCGTGGCTTGGACCTGTGTGTCGACAGCACTCTGCACCATAAATTGCTGTTGCTTTTGAGCCCAGCTATTTATTTTCTGTGCTCTTTTTTTTTTTCTTTTCATACATTAGCTAGCATTGCTGTGTACTTGGAAAAAGGATGCTCTGAAGCATGAATCCCTGTGCCGTCTTGAAAAGGAGACTTTCAGTAAAGGCTTAATTCTTTATTAATATTTTTTTCCTAATTATAGGGATGATGGATATTCATTGTGGAAAGTCTGAGAAGCTGAAAATTATAAATCCCATAGCTCTGAGATAACTACTGTTAATATTTTAGCATATTTCTTTTAATCCTTTACCTTTAAAAATGCATACACACGCACACTTACTAAATTGATTCATCCTGTACCTTCAGTTTGGTTTCCTGCCTTTATCACCAATTATTGTTTTCTGTGTATTCTAAATACAATATCTACTAACTGTAGAAAACTCATCAAACACAGAAAGAGAGGTCTATCTTTTCTCATTTCATTATCCAAAGGCAACCACTGAGAAAATTCGAGAGTTTCATTTTGTATGTTTTAAAAATTTGTATCGTAAGGCATGTAAATTTTGCATAATTTTTCACTTAATTTTTCCAGATCATCAAAATATGGTTTGCAGTGTCTATATGGCTCTAACTTTGTGGATTTTTCTTCTTAAATAAAATTCACAGTATATAACCTATGCATTTTATGATTTTTTTGGGGGGGGAGTAAGTTATTTTTGAAAAGGTGCTCAACTCTCAAAAAAACGTGTATTATATATTCTCACCTTAATATGTAGTCATTTTTCAATCTCATTAAG